TATTTTAAGTTGTCGTCCCTGCTGCTGTCCTATGTTAAAGGATAGGCACCTTCCCGCGTCCCTCACGCCCCCCGATGATACCCCTGAACCTCCTTAAACCCGTAGAGATACGGGAAAATTGCATACGATCTTTCTTGTAGAGGATGACGAGATCTACAATTTCCATATAATAGTTTTTCGCTAGCATTAATAGTTTACGAGTTATTTGCAAAAAACGAAAAACAGTTTTTTGCAAATTACTCCTAAACCCTTGGAGATACGGGAAAATTGCATAGGAAAGCAGTATTTATTATCTAAATACTTTTATTCAAATATGGTATAATGCATTACAACGTGTATACAATGACTCAAATATGATTAGTACAAAGAAAAATATTTGAAACGCGAAATATGCTGGATCAGCGAGAAGTATTTCCAACATGAAATTTCTGGTTTCGTAAATGAAATTAATTTCATCTGTTTAAATACTTGTTAGCTGTTTCTAGCGTTTTTCGTAATAATTCTCACTATCAGACGCGCAAGAAACTAATCGTGTACACTCTTCGTTCGTTACCATCAACAGAGATCAATTTCAACGTTATTTCGTGTAACTGCCCTATGAGCGGCGAGATGTGAATATGCATTGGAATGCTTTCTGTGGAGGGTCTCACGTCTGAAATATCGTTATCACGTAGTAAAACAATATGCGGTGTAGCCCTCTTTAACTTCGATCGACTACGGTACGATGATCAATGTGTACTAACCGTTTATCGTGAACGTCTTGGGGTAATTGAGGATGTGGGATGACTCGGATATCGTTACATTGTAAGTGACCGTCGCATCGAATATGTGAGTGAATTCCATAGCTGCAGAATCTGCGCTGTCTCCCATTAACCAGTGAATTAAACGCAAGCCGATATGCGTGTCTTCGTCGCATAATCACAAACGTGAAAATTAGAATCTTAATGAAACGGTTTTACAGACCGATAGGTAATTTCTTTTATCACGTCGTCTATATAATGCTTTTGAGAGTTATGTACGTACAGACGTTTGGCACGCTCGATACTCACGTACCTAGGTACCGAGACCAAAACAGTCGCTCTTTCGGATCGAGAGTCTTTTGAAACATATGACCGACGCAACTCCAAAGTTGTGTGTTTCTCGAAGGTATGGGTACAGCCAGATTCAATGGGCACATCTCGTGATAATCTTGGTCCGTGCAAATACATTTTTCTACCTGCTCGTCCCATTCAACCACGATATCGTCGGTCAACGTCGTTTGCCAATGCGTATTTATCTGCGTCGTGTGGAATACAAACGTTGAGATGTACATACAGAAAAGTAGCACGCGGATGACTTCGGTCACAGATACCTGTATGATGAAGTCGCCTATCTTCGATTGAAAAATGATCCAAAAGCTTCGATGACACGGTGTGATACACGCCACCGTGACCGACAAAGGAGCTTGCATCGTGTCTTCTTTGACCACGATCGACTTTTGATTTATGAACAATCGCCTCGGTATTTTTCTCAAGCTCAATTCGGACCATCGCGTCTGCTTTAGAACACCTGTATAGTATCGAGATTTAATTCACTTATCCGAGATCTCAATGATCGATGAGCGTACTCGGTTTGGTCGGACGTTCCTCTGACATCCAGATCTCGTATTCAATCGAATTTTCGTAATGCACGTTGATCGTCAGGACTTTGTCGACCACTTGATACAGTTTGCTGCATATCGTGTATTCGTTCGAAACTCCTAAACTATCGGCTTGGCCTTCCAGTACGAATACCTGATTTCTACCGAAGTTAGGACCGATCGTCGATCCGCAAAACAACAGATAAGCTATCTCAGAGAACGCAAAGATAATAAATTTCACGAATAATTAAATGTCTCGACGATCGATACCGAGTTACCTTTAGTCTTCTTAATTTTGTTCGCATAAAAATGTATTTTCATCACGGTGCTCTCATGAGCGTTCAGATGCATAATCGGATTCGTAGTCCCGGCTTTGAAAAATCCATGGTTGTTACCGAAGAACATTATTAAAAAGCTGACGCTGTGATTAGTCGGGTTCGTGAAACTTATTTGTCTCGTCACGGTTTCGGACAACGCGCAGCTGAATTTGATCTACGAATCAAAATTTTATTTTACGCCAATAACAAATGACAACAAGGGAAATAAAAGATTCTTTACCTTGGTTCTCGGGGTGTAAGTCGGAAGCATGTTGTACAGATACGTGACCAGCATCAGCATTTTAATGCAGTTTGGGTATACGATCTCTAATGGCGAAATAACGAAGCCAAGACGTATTTTCCTCCATGCGTTCACCACGCATATAGCGTTGTGCAACGACTTAAACATTGAGACGGACATTATGCAGGCGTTGCACGACAAATTGGTATGTAGCGGATAGGTCAAGGTGTGTACGTACTTCCTCGTAATTTCGCGGTTGAATATAACGGTTGGACAGATAATCCTCGATGACGAAGGGGCAGTAGGAGGCTGTGACCGTGATCAGCACGACGGAATCGGATAAATCCGTGTCGAAGTTCTGGACTTTACGTTCGCCTGCTACGTCTTTGGTCTCGTTGGGATTTAATATTACACGACGATCGATCATCCACTCTTTCTTTCGTTCCTCATCGTAATGACCACGCAGCCAAGACAGTAAGAACAATTCCGCGGTGGAATAATTATTGCTGGATAGCTTGTAAGAGAGTTCAGTGTTGATATTTCGTATGATAGTTTCGTGGGCCTCGAAATATTTACGGACACTAGAGATTCAGATCGTAAGAGATTTTGTTAAAAATGATTTATTTTTATGGGAAAGTCGTGTGAACCTCATTAAGGACGAGGCGGCGCCGGATGATCGGAAAGTAGATCGCCTGGAATAGGGCACGGGGGAACTGTCTTCGCTGAGTTTCTTTATACGAATTCTCGACAGCACGAAGCATTTAAATGTTTGTAATATAACGTCCAGCCAGCATTGCTTGCTTCGAGCCTCGAATTTCAACTGCGACAATTTCTCTTGTCCGGATTCCATTGAGACATGAGATTTTCGAATCTGTAATTTATGAGAAATTCTTATTCCGGCTAGTGTTTGTTCTGTCAACAGTTTTTAACGCTTCACCGAATCGCATGAGAGCGGCATATTTACTTTTGAACGCGTGTTTTCCATGAGCAGGACATAGTCGTCGTAGTGTATCAAATACTGTGCCGAAACGTGGCATAAATGAGCCCCGTGATTTATCAAGAAGTTGAGAATATTGTCGTAGAGGGAGAACACACAATTTGCTCTTTCGACTTCCTTTTTCGGCAGATTCTTGCTGCTACGAGAACAATTATTATCAGAGAACACGATGCGAATAAATTGCTAATCTTTGATTAGATTAGGGTCTTGTTTGGTATTAAAAAGATAAGATTTGAGAAATTTAATTACGCATGTACTGTCCGTGATCGCACTTACAATTTTCCAATGGAACTCTCGATCGCTGGCCCTACCAGAAATCCAAGAACGCCTATAAAGGACATACTCAACTCCGGTGCCATACGACTCGTAGCTTTGAACTGCACCGGTTTCTTCGAATAATACTTCGACAGCGACATCGTGATACCGCTGAGGATCACCGGGTAAAAACTGAATTTGAAAGGCCCACTGTAAAGCCATTCCTCCACGGCTTTTATGGTCTGATTCATATAAATCACGTACTCGCTGTAGAACACGTGATTGCGGTAAGTCAGCCGACTTAAATAGAGTTCCGAGAGGGCTTACTCGTGTTCATCGCCGAGGGGGAAGTAAGGATGTTCGAGTGTCTCAAAGATTTCCTCAAATTTACTCGACGACGATTTTATGGAACGGTCTGAACTCAGCTTTTCCACCTTCTTGTCCGCTTCGCTCTTCTGAACGTCGTTTTGATCGTTCTTCTCCAGCGAGACATCCGAATCGAACGCAGTCAGCCTGAGTTTATTCTCCATCAGTCTTTCGGCAGAGTCTCGGCTCTTTAATCCGAAGTAGGATAGAATGCTTATTCTCGGTACTGACTGTTTCCTCTGGAACGATGAAACAGCTCGACGAGAATCCTTCGACGTATTTAAATGGAAAAATTCTAATTTAAACGCCATACGCTTCTCGGTGAATAAACGTCGTAGTCCTCGTCGTCGGACACAGATTCGGAGGTGCGAGATATTGACTTCTCGAGGCTGGCCGTCCAGTGGAAGTCTAGATTCGGATTTCTCAGATACGTATGGGTGGTCAACAGGCAATTGTCCGCTGTGGCATAGACGTACACCGAGCAAGCGCCGATGTCAGTGCTGTTCGAAAATTCGATCGCAGTCCGGAACGAGACGGACGTCTCGCTCTTGAACACTACTTTCACGTTCAATTCTGAAAACCTCGTGAAACAGATTCATTGTACGAATTATCGTCACGTTCACGTCTTCACGTCTCGATGATCACTTACTCGGCCGAAGACGCGACGTCGGTCTCTATGAAACTGACGGACAGGCAATCTTTGGAATAGAATCCGCTCTGACACTCGGGTGGCAATACCCTCGCCGTGATGGTCGTGTCCTTGTCGACGTGCCTCGCGACGAGCGAGAACTTCTTCTCGGTCGCCGTGTTCAGTGGTACCGGCATGAAATAGATCTCCGGCACCTCGGCTTGTATGTGGCTGACCGGGTAATTGCCGACCAGACACAGTTTGTTGAACATTTCGCCGTCCAGTTCGTCGCGAACATACATGGGTGCCTCGAGCGTAAAATGACCCCTCGTCTTCGGATGAAACTCCAATGTGAAACACGTTTTCTCCCCTGGTCCCAAGGAGCATTGAACGCAGTCGACGGTGACGATCGGTTCTTTACCGCTGGTCCATCGAAGGAAGAACGGACAGACGACGGTCCCGAAGTTCCTAGTGTCTATTTGCACGGATCTCTCGTCACGCGAATCGCGATTTTCTATGTAGAATTCCTCTGCGATCTTCAATACGAAACCGTGAGGGAGTCACCTACTCTGTACTTACGGATTTTTATCATTGAACGCTTACGTTGTTTTGCGAGACGCTGAATTCGAACACTAATTTGTTGAAGAAGATAACGTGCCCCGCGACGGTGCAGTCGATGGACAGCGTTACGAGCTTCTGAGGTAACTTCTGTAGAACGAATTCAGGAGAGTCGTAATGTTCTTTGAATTGTTTCAAGTATTCCGTAGGCTTCAGGGTTCTGGGGTTTATCATGTTTGCCGGTCCAAGTATGTCGTTCATGACTAACGGCAGGTAGAACGCGTAGCTAGCCAAATCAATCGGCTCGAAATGGAGATGATAGTCGCGGCTCGCGCCTGGCGCGATAAATGTGCTCTCGATGTCTTCTGATTCGTACAGAAACATTGATTATGAAAGATGTGAAAGGGAACGTCGTGCTTTGAGCATTACCTAAAGCGGGGTCTTGTCTTCGCGAGGAGAGAGATAGCCAGAATTCTGGATACTCTTCCAACGAGAAGTTCAGCTTGAGGACAGTCGTTCCGGTGTTGCTCGCTGTTATCACGTAATGTTGATACGCGGATGCACTTATCCGTCGGAGATTTATAGAAGACGGGTGCAGTTTTAATTGCGGGAACGACACGGTGCCGACGATCTTTACTAGGAGGACCAATTGCTTTTGCAGGGTCACGCGGACCACCGTTACGAAACGACAGCAAACGGCGAATTTTAGAGTGATCTGTAACATTTACCATTTTGAGCGTAATAATTACATTACTTTTATGCGATCTGAAAAATTGAATCGATGAACCTGCCTCGAGCGCGGTCACTCCACGAGGCTGTAGCACTCCGTGGAGAGGCTCGACGACGCATCCGTGCATCAAACTTGCCGAGTCTACCTCGTATTCGACCTCGATAAACTCGAAATTACGTAGGAAAGCGACGGTCTTCGACGGCAAGTTGAGCGGTATTTCACCGACGTCTATGTTATCCATGACGAAACCGGCCTTCGGCGTTGGCAGCGACATGCTCAGTCGAATAGTGATGTAACTGCTGCTCTCGCACTTCATTGTCAGTTCCGTGCATGTGGCCCTCCTGACGTCCGGCTTGTAATAAATGTAGGTAAAGAGCGAGGCGTCCCCGCGGACGATGCCCGACAACGGTTCGACGAAGAAGCAACAAGTGCTCGGCACTTCCCACCTGTTTCCGGCGTGAAATCGTTGTTGAGTACGAGACCTTACCGATCGTCAGATGTGTCAGTCGTCGTTGAACTCCTCTTTAATCAAGTGAGCTCACCGGAAGTAGGTTCTCGCGTTCAGTCTGTTCCTGATCTGAACGGCGTGATCCATCGGATGGTAGATCTCCTCTTTTAGCCAGTCTTTGCCGAAAATTACTTCCCGCGTGTCGAGCGAGAATTGTTTCTCGACGATGTCGGCAGTGACGCCAAGCTCGAACGAATGATTGTCGTTAATAGTATAATCGATGTAGCCGTTGAATTTGCCGAAGTGATGCGCCCGGAACTCGACCAGCCGCTTGACTATCGAACCCGGTGGTAGAACGATCAAATTTCCCTCTGGGAAGTTGATGCATCTGGAGGACAAGCTCGTCAAGCGAATCATGATCGGGAATTCGTTCAGATTCTCCGCGATCAGTTGCCGATAATTATGGCTCTTCGGGACGACCTATAACGTGCTTTTCTTAATTGTGCATTTCACAGAAAATGAAAGGATCAAAGGATCTTCTCGGGACACTCCTTTTTAATTATATATTTCATGTACGATGACGGGAATGAGAGATCGTTACCATTCCGAAAGAGAACAGGCTGGGGTACATGCGTACGTTGTATATCTGCAACGGGGACAGAGGTATCAGTACCTCGGTCCCGGTCTCAAGTATTTCGACCTTCTCCTTAAAATAAGTCGCGCAGTCCACTACGTCCGAAACATTTCTATATTTCCACTTGGGAATGTAAAGGGTCTTCTCTTCGATTCCGCTATCGAAGTTATCTATAACAACTTCTTCTTTCGGTTTAATCTGACGAAACATCAGTTGCGGATAGAACCGTGAAATAATCGTTAGAAATTCGTAGGACTTACTGCGACCTTTGGTAGCGATCGTTTCCTTTGCGTTACTTTTGGTATTTCATTTAAGTCTGTAAAATACCAGACTGACACGAAACTGTGTAGAAAAATGCATGGACCAAGTTAAATCGATGACGAGTGTTCCAACGTATCGATTACCTCCGTAATAGAGCGCGTAATCCGTAAAAATCGTTCTTCCTTCCGATAAGCACGATCTCTTCTTGGTCACGACCAGCTTCACGCTTACCGCGCACTGAACAGAGTAACATCCTACTTTGATCTTTGTCCGGCGCCTGGTTTTGGTCGACTCGCAGGAGTCCGCTACGGCGTCGAAGTAAATTTCGAACGACGACTCAACTGCGAAAACCCAGTTGGCGATCTTAATCTACCAGAAATACTTTTTTTGCGATGATCGGACTACCGTTCTCCTTTCCTCTGACTTTCACGAGTAACTCTATCGAGCCTGATGGCTTCAACGTTGTCATCTCCGGATAGCAACGGGCCGATGCGTTGCGCACGTACCGGCACACCAGAGGTGCGAATTTCAGTGGATTCGATACGCGCACGACACGTTGGGAATCTTGGCCGACGTACAGTTCGCCAAAATAGAGGATGTCCGGCTCGAAACCGAGGCGGGCCTCTTCCACTTCGCCGTGAAGGCAAAGTCTCACTACGTCGTTCAACACAGAGTCCGTACTAGATTCGGAGGACGAGGACGAACTGTCGTCGCGTATGATCGGCACGTGCTCTGTTTGAATCGTGACAGGAATATAAGGAAAAACGTAGATGTAAATCTAGGAATAGGTAGAAAGAAAGGTACTGATGTAATATCGGTACTAACGTTTGTGATGGAGACTAGTTTCTGCCAGAGGGTCGTCTTCTGCCACTTCAGCTTCTCCTACATTTTTTTTATAATAAAACTCGTCGTCTCATACGCTCGTTAAAAAGTAGGTGAAGATTTTCGAAATATGATTACTCAAAATATCCTTCTTTTCGGTGACGTGTACTCTGACGATTCTTAAAAAGGCCATGAAATCGTTCTCTCGTCTGTCTGATTTCTCTTTCAACTTCTCTCGCCACAGCATTAAACTGTACGTTGGTGCAAAGCTAGATTTCATTCAATATCGATAATTTCTATCAACACGGGAATATGAAGAATTTTTCTAAAAACGAGATTCTTGATGAAATCAATACGATTGAACTTACCCTACTTCAAAAATGATACCTTCGAACGGTCCTATGCGACCTTGTATCGGTCGAATTTCGAAGGCGCTATATACGGGATACTTTTTAGGATCGATGTCCTACAGATAGAGAAATTATGCCAATTGTCTATGGCAATTGAACATGAACTGTTATTTTAGAGAGGTTATAAAAAAATGTGAAATCGTTACGCGAATGCATTTTATCTCGTTGTCGATCTCGCCCAGAACCACGTAGCTCGCTACTTGAGACGAGACGTTTCTCAGAACGAACGAATCGTACTTGCGGGTGTTCGCGACGGTCTGTGAGAAATCAATAAGAGTGAAATCGCCGGTCGCATTCGGGTGATAGATCACCAGTTTCGGTACGATCACTTCCACTTTGAAGGGGACGCGTATGTTGGGAACAGACTTGATCCTGAGAACGAAAGTGACTCTTCTCGTGGTCTCTGTTTAGTTATTTGTGATCGATCGCGTTTACCAAAATTCGCTGAAAAATGTGCCTTCGTTCAAGCCGATCAGCTCGACGGTGATTTGAACATCTCTGTTGGGCTTGACGATTCCACGCATGGGCTTCACCGTGATTTCTAAATCATTCGTACCGAGATCGATCGAGAATCTGTTGACGAACAGTAGTGTAAGTTCAAGATCTCATTTCACGGTCGAAGAGGTTAGGACCTGGTACTCTTGCCACCCTCGTTCTTGAGAGTGAGTACTTTGATCCCAGCAGAGTAATCGATGTCGACGATGCCGAAGTCCAGCGATTTCGGCTCGACACTGATACCTTCGACTAATAACTTGCAAATGACCAGATAATCGATGATCTTCCCATTAATTTCGATCGGGATCATCGCGCGTAAGAAAGAGGGTCGTTTGAAGGAATACGTCACGGTCGAACGTACAGAGAGACCAGGATTGACCATTACTCCCTTTCTCAGAGATTTTACCTGGAATGCCTATAAAATGAGATATCTAAACAACACTTTTGCTTCTCTCGCCAGACGTTGTCCGTAGAAAGTTTTGAATTTAAATTCCTTGAAAAGTAATGAACCATCGCGTCGAGTAGTTTGACCGGAAATCGTACGCGCCATGGTTTGTTCGGCTTACCATTGAGTTGGGTTGATGGACTTTGACGAAGGCTGGTTTACTGCCTGTGTTTTTTATAGTTATGTTCTGATAGCACGTAATTCCTTCGCTGGCCTCCGTGAATTCGATGAAACTCGGGAAAATGTGAACGTCATCGTGCGACACATCGTCTAATATTTCATCAATCGAGTTCGGTATGTTTTGAATCTCGACACCTTCTTGTATCAATACGATGGAACTCCTCGATTGGAACTTGGATTTGTAGGTTTTAGTTGATTAAGGGATGGGGAGTTATCGAGAGAAATCTACTACACGTTAATATCTTTGTAGAATACCTCGGACCTACGACCTGTTACTTTCCCAGGTTCCGAAATAGATCCCATTTCTTACGGGTGGACGAACGAAATATTCGTTTGCGAATAATAAATCGAATCATATAACCATATTTTATTTATGACGACAAGAAGATAGTAAGTATAACCGAGTCTATCTTTTGTTCAAGAGAGCGAGTAGATTCGAGTGTTGAATGTTTTTTTCGAAGTGACCATTGACCTATAGTAGCCACCCCCGGGATTGGTCATTCGGTCATTTAGTCAAGGATCGTGAAATAAAAATACCAAGATTCGTTTCTATTCATTTATCAATTAAAATGTTGTCATTTTTACAGTGCATTAATGCAGTTGGTCTCGAAATTCTTGAAAACGATCATGTTCTGATAAAGCATTTTTGACACGATTTTTTCTTTGTCAGCCCACCTTCCAGTTCACATTCCAGTCATTCTATACAAATCTCAACGATCGGACGATAACATTATCAAGTACATCTTTTATACTGGATGGGAAGTGCTGAACGTTTGTTAAAAAATCATTATTATATACAATTTTAACAGTAATAGTATAATACAAACGCTTAATTATTGTACAACGCTCGAGATTAAAAACATTTCTCATTCAGTGAACATGATTACGTTTAACACAGTCTTCTTACACAGTTTTATCGTATCGTGATTAATACTTATATGCGAATATTAATTTGTTCTTGTTGAACATAATCGTTACGTGAACGTATGTACAAGATGCGATGTAACGAACGTTACAGTCTTTTACATGCACAAATAGATCAGAGCGAAATAGTTCGATCGGTGTCAGGCGTATTATTGTACAATTATTTTAACAACATCTTTCCGTGTCGTAAAATTAAAATCAATTAGCTGTCAGATCGCTATCCGACTGAGAGTTCATCTTCTCCCTTCTTACCGCGTATTCAACGTAACAGAACGTAGCAGTGCCGGCAACGATTGATATCGTTAGAACAAGCAATTGTATATAAAGTCCTAGGACGTTGCTGTACGCGAAGCTTACCGCGGCCGCGACCGATTGACAGAATTTGAACAAGGCGAAAGCCGGTGCACTGTTCTGGACGAAAATCGATCCTAACAACGAGTAGATCTGAGTATTGAAGCAGGCGTCACCGAAGCCAAGAGCGAGACTTCCGATCAGCGCTAATGCCGTCGAGGATGTGATGAATCCTAAGTTGTCGGTATCCTTGACAGGTGAATCGTTCGGCAGATTGAGAAAAATGGTAATAAAGGCGAAGAGGTGGACGCAGAACCCGGTGATGATCACCGACCACGCGCCGCAAACGCGAGACACTTTCGACGCGAAGATACCGAAAAGGGCCCCTCCGGTCACTTCCCCGACACCGATCAGAATACCGGAGAGACCGATTAAACTTTTACGAGAGTCGCCCAACGCCTTGGTGAAGCCGATGCACGACGAGTAGACTCCGGAATAGAACGTCAGTACCAAACCGGTGTACACGAACGTTGATGACAATAGGAGCATTCTCGGGGTAAAGAATAGTGAGAACGCGTCGAGGAAGGCGTTCCAGGCGGCCAACAACGGTCTGCCTTTCGCAGGATCTGGGATTCTCAGTTCTTTGTCCGCGCTCGAAACACCTTCGGCTTCGCCCAGAACCAACGCTCGCGAAGTTCTCCTTAACGCGGCCAACGCGCACGCACCGAGAACCGCTAGTCCCGTCAGAACGCCGAAAACGAGGCTTCTCTTCTGCGCGCTAATAGAATCAGCGAACATAAAATAGACGAAAAGATTTCCGACGAACATCGACATTTGAAAGATCGCCCAAAATATTCCGCTGTTGCGGGACATCGTATCCGTGTCGCTGTTCTCCGTCAGGTACTGCCCGTGCCCCGTCCATATCAAAGCGGCCCCGGTACCTAATACGCACGAGGCAGCGTAGAGGAGGATCTTCTGCGGCCAGAGGAAGATTGCTATGAAAAGTACGTAGCAGCAAGCGCCGGTAAATATAGCGAATCTTGGTCCCGTCAATGAGATGTACGATGGTGCTAACCAGTTGCAAGTGGCGAACACGGCGTAGATAATCGCTAAGCTAGTGTACGCCTCGCCGGTGAAGTCCGGTGTCTCTTCATTAATACTGACTAGTACCGTTTTCTACACAGAAAATAAGCCCCAGATATAGTAAACCGCTGTTTATTTCATGTGAGTGTTAATCCTTTCAGATTAATTCTTATCCGCTTCTGCGTTTTTCTCGTAGGAATATCAATTGACACAGCGGTAGAGATGATGGAATAAAAAAATTACTTCGTAAGCGTAGTAAGCAAACATTTATCAGACGAATAATATACAAGTGCATTGTGGGCGTCATAGTTTCAATTAATTTGTACGTAATACGTCGACGGGCAAACGAGATAACGTTTGTGATAAAGAACAGTGACACACGAAACGAGAAACATAACTTTTATTAATACAACAACAACATCGTGTAAGCAATAACTGTTTGCTTTTATGCATATAATTTTTAACTGGGTTACGATATCCTCGAGTATCACTCGTCTCGAGTGAAATTGACACGAGCTATCAGTGTGTTGACCGATATTTCTTCGATAGATCATGCTTGACCGGATTTTAAATACGTTTAGGACATAGGATTAATCTAGATTCACTGTAAATTGCAGTTCTCTGTTATCAACAATTTCCAAATAAACAATTTAATTATGTGAACCGAGTTGTTTTTTCTGAAAAATCAAAAATCCTATATTCCTTGTCCCTTGCGTTGTTTATTTAATTTTTGCATTAAAATATAAAGCTTGTTCTATACTCGTCAAGTTAGATTATGATATATTATTAGAAACAATGAATTCGGGATCTACAAACATAAAATCGAGATTACATGATTTATCTATGTATACAATCAACAGGTGATCACTCAAGAAAAAGAATGTGATTGAACGATACGCATCAGTAACTTGTAATGGATTGGAACTGAAATATTTAGGAAATTAATTTAATTAATTAACTTTGACAGTCGATCCTGTCCTGCACTAATCACTACTCCGTTTACTTTCACTCATTGACATTTGTAAGAGAGATACTCTGAATTCAACATACTTGATTACGCTAGTTTTCGCTACACGCTAAAGAATGCGGCGGTTTTTAGTGAAAGTAGCCGAGGTCACACGTATTCTGAGATTCCTTTTCAAATGTCTGTCTTTAACACGTGTAGCAACGTGTTGTTATAACGAGAGGAGAATAAAGAACGTCAGACAGTTTTCCGAAGATTTCAAATCGATAATTACAAGAATGAATTTCGTTGGCGCGTAACAATACATTTTATATGTGGAGGGAAGACGGAAGTAAATGCGAACGTGAAAGGGAATGAAAAATCGTAACACTCACCTCGATATTACCCATTGTTTGAAATGCAGTAAACACGAGCATAAAACCGAAACTTAATAATATCACGTTTAGAAAATTCTTGTCTATCCTCATGATGAACACGTTAAAATACACGGACGATAGAAAATTAATAGAAAACGTTAAAACTGGTTTTATTTTTATCACTCGGCTCGTTTGAAATCGCGTACGGATCGCGTATCAATCAGATATAAACAGATGGTCAGTCACGATCCGCGACGTCGGTAAGGAACGAAGCCTGATATGCGATTGCCAACACTACGTAATTCCCTTCTTCCTCGGTCGGTGATTTGAAATAATTGTCGAAAAACTACAATATGGTGAATTACCGATCACATGACGCGTTTCGAGTCGGGATACTGTAGATATCGATGTATCGATTTCTGCGAGCACACACATATACGATGCTGTATGCATATACGCACATTTATCTACTGCAATAGCACCTACACTGCTGGGCATAGGTTATGGATCGTGGCGTTTATTTAATTGCCTCAAGCATATAGTAACATTTTATTTTCTAAAGACGATGAGACAATGCGTATAAACAATGATCTTTTCTTTATTAAACTGCAGGACAAACGTTTTGAACTTTGTACCACCGAGACGCTGTACTAAAGTGATCTTGATCGTTCGACACTCGGGAGGATTGAGAGGATTACGCGCGTTTTAAATGAAATCTCACTAACAGGAATGGCCGAGTGCGTGATGCGTTCATGGCCAGTAAATACCTGTTGGTCATATTCCGTTATCAAGCGCAACTCGATAAGAATTTAACGGTCATTACGAAGCAGAATTATCCGATGGTTTCTTATTATAAGAAGAATGCACGGTTTAAATTCGATCCCTTCCTACCGACGAACAAGTGGTGAACGGGTAATGCGAAATGCCGCGATTAAAGCTTAGGAGGTTTTGACACGTTTACAAATCCGGTGATTCGAGCTGGTGAATCCTGAAACGTTCTCTGATCGCGCGAGAAAGAGAGAGTGGCAACTCGTTGATATTGCAGAAGGATGCACCGATCAGGGAATGCTGTTCGTTCATAGAGGGTGTGAGATCATTGTACAAACATTATGACGAATTGCTGCCTCCGGAGTGATACGAAGGATTGTATTTTTTTTTCATCGTCCGTATTTCTTTGCGTATCGTGCGATCGTATCAAACATGAGTGGTCGTGAACGTTATTACGATTAGCAACCGACAGGTCGTTAGAATCCAGTGGTTCGAAGCATAACTTTATTTACATAATAAACGATAGGAGTTCATCAATCATGAAGAAACAATTCTTTCGGGTAAAACAGCTCGCCGATCAAACGTTTTCTAGGTAATCTCTTTACGATATCATTTCCGAGTTCTCAAGAAGTTTTTCCTTCGTTCTCTCTGCTGATTATTCCACGTATCGAACGTTCGACGGTTTTAAATGCGAAACGACCTTTGAAATAACCGACGTTATTTAAAACCGAATTACTACACTGCTTCCGAAGATAAAGATTTCTTGCAGAATACCATAAGATTCAATAAAACCGTGTCACGGTATACGAAAATAACTCGTGAATCAGATACTCCTAAAATGGATTGATTCCAAAGACCATAATAATTAGATACTTGATCACTATTTTAACCCGATGCTAAGTTATTGAACATCGTTCTGTTTCCACAGAGCTGGCAAAACAGAAGTGCTCACAGACGATTTGCAAGCTGCAGACAAACATGTAGAGCAAATCAAAAATGCCCTCCTCGGATTGAACAAGAGGTTTGGTAATCCGCCGAATCAGGCTACGACGCAAGACCCTGTGCTCAAGGAAAAGCGATTGGTAACGCAGAACTGAAATTTGTTTGCTTATAAATGTGCCGTTCCATATCCTAGATACTTACATCGTATTTTCTAACTCGTAGAAAAAGTGTGCGGAATATGTATTGGGTGAGGTGATGAGGGAAAATGCCCCAGAGGATGGCCTAATGCGTTTTACTTTACGGGAGTGCGGTGATGCACAGAAGCAACTGGCAACGGAGTTGATCGAGCACGAGGTGAAAGTCGAGCAATATGTGGCGAGTCCTCTTCAAAATATTTTAGACACGGATGTACCAAATATACTAAAGCATAAGAAAAATCTAGCTAAGTTGACGTTAGACATGGACAGCGTGCGAACGAGATATCACCAAGCCAGCAAGCATAGTACTACCAGTATGAACAAACTTGATTTATACACTGTATATTCCGAGAGTACATAGGAATACGAATATTTAAATGAATATTATTGGAAAGGTGTGGGTGCGTCGAAACTGGATAACTTGAGGGAGGAGCTTGAAGAGGCCGAATCCAGAGTCGAGCAATGTAGGGATCATTTGGCAGCAGAGATGTTTCAACTTATGTCACGGGAAACCGAATTGGCACACATTATTGTACAGTATGTGAAACTTCAAAGGGCTTACCACGAAAGCGCGTTGCGCTGCCTCGAAGAACTCATACCTGGGCTAGAGAGTTATATCAGTAAGCATCGAGTTACGAACACGTTATGTGGAAACAAATTTGATGTTTTAATTTCATTTCGTGATTACAGACGACAATGAAATGAAACCAGTGTATGGTTTTCCCTTGGAAGAACACCTAAGAGTAACCAACAGAAAAATTGCGTTACCTATTCAGTTATGTGTGTCCGCATTGTTACGATTAGGGGTGGAAGAAGAGGGTCTCTTTCGAATAGCTGGTGCTGCGTCCAAATCGCGACGAATTAAATTAAGTTTAGATGCTTGCTGTCTGACGTTACCAACCGCTCTAGAATACAAAGATCCCCACGTAATAGCTGGTGCATTGAAGTCTTATTTACGAGAGCTTCCCGAGCCTCTATTAACGTTCAAGTAAATAAAAAGAGAATATCACCCTTGACGACGAGATTAGAACGTTTCACACGCGTTGTCTTCGTTTTACAGATTGTACCCGGAATGGATGGCAGCTGCGAAAATAACTCAGAGCGAACCGAGGTTGAGAGCTCTTTGGGAGGTGTTGTATAAATTGCCGGCAGTAAACTTAGAAAATCTACGGTTCCTAATCAAATTTTTAGCTGTACTGACTAAAAACCAAGACGTGAATAAAATGTCCCCGCAAAACATCGCGATCGTGATAGCGCCTAATTTAATATGGAGTCCGCAGGAGGATGTAAATACGATGGTGTAAGAATCTATTTCTCTGAATTTTCAACGAGATTCTCGTCTATGCGTAAATGTGTCTACCAATGGAATATTCATTGTTACAGAATGAACATGAGCACGGCTAACAATTCTAGTCTTATAGTAGATCAGTTGATCACGTACGCGGATTGGTTTTTTCCGGGTGAAATAGATTTCGATCGTGATTTAGACGTCGGTATCGTGAATGGTTCGGAGAATCAGAACATAGAGACGATTCGTCGTTGCATTTCGAACAGCAGCCTCAGCGACCACGGGGAAAGTCCACCGCAAGGTAGTCCTAAGCCAGCGGCTCGTAGGAAAAATAAGCCAGCTCCCACTCCGCCAAATAGCACCACTCCAGATAAACATGACAAGAGGTCCGATGATAAACCACCACCAACGCCTGATAAACCGCCCAGACCATTGACGTCGACTCTCAATCGCAAGACTCACAAACAACACGAAACGCTGCACACCGAGTCGATCGTCAAACACGAAAACAGTGCGGAGAAACATGACGGAAATACAGAGGTAGAGACTAAACAGCAAAATATCGAGGCAAATGCGATCGCCGATTCTCCGACCGTGAACCAAGAATGTATCATCGAACCGCAAGACGTGCACGTCGATACGGAAATTGAGAAGAATATCTTAGAAGCTCAAAAACATGACAAGAGAATCACCGTTCCGGTTCCTGTTGAGAGACAAACCGCGGAAATCGGGTCGAGCAATAAGCCTGCTACGGATACCGAAATGTTCGATGCTTCTGTGCAAAGAGTAAAAGCTGTGCCAGCAGAAAGGCCTAATCCCTCGACGTTGGAGAGACGCAGACCGATAGCAGCCCCGAGAACTATAAGCAATATAGTACATAACACGGGTGAGTATTTTTATGCTCTATTTTCCTTCAGCAGGATGACACATGATATTCACTGTACATATTTTAATTGAAAAGAAGAACCCGTGGAAATACGTAAGAGGACCGATAGCAGTATCCCGGCGTGTACGATCATGCCTGACAGAAGTAGCAAACCAGCGATACCTGAACGACCAGCTGGACTGATGCGACCGTCGAGCCTAATAAAACAACAACCACCGCGGCAGAGCAGCGAGAACTTAGAAGCCGATACAGGGGTGAGTGTCGTCGAGTGCTCTTAAGGATCACGTTCGGTTTCAGTATTGTATGTAAGATAATTCTTTAAAAAAAATGTAGTTACTGCAAGTGGACTCGGCAAATACATATCACTGCCTGGATATTACATTTTGAAATACGATAACGTAAGCTATGAACGAAGTGAAAGCGTTGAACGTTAACAAATACTTTCATTTCAAATAGTCTCTTGACACGATGACGTTTCGAAGATATTAATATAGTTTTCTTTTTCTAACGACCTGTAGCCGTTGACTTTGGAAAGGGCTCACGTGTATTCAGTGGACAAACAGCAGGTCAGTATAATACAAGTGCGTGGGAATGGCAATCCGTTCTGCACCTCGGGGAACAACAATGGCAACGCGGGTTCGAACTTACAGAGGAGCCCCAGTGTAGGTAGCCGGCCTTCGTCTATGTCCCTGTACGGTGAACGACCGGAAAGGCCAGCCAAATTGAACGCTCCGGAGCAAACGAAAGCCCACGTGCGAACCAGATCCGAAGGAAATATAATCGATGTGCAAACACAGACTCAGACGGTGGTAGTTGCCAAATCGCCGCACCAACAACCTGTACCAGCGTCTCCGAGATTTCATCAGAGGCCACCGCGGCCTCAACCACCGCCGCCTCCTCCGCCCACCGCGCGAGTTAAATCGGAACACGAAAGTACTAATCTATAGAATTAACTTGTGCATAAAAGTGATTACTATATTTATAAGAGAACTTTATAAGAATCATTAATATTTTTTCAAACGAAGGCTATATTTCTTACGAGACAATATGAAACTGCGGGGAACTTGCAAGGAAACAAGTTTTCTGTTCAGATTTTGTATAATGACTGCTTTGAGTTTTAGTATTCCATTTGAATCGAAGACACGGTTTAACAAGATTTTTCTAAAAATGACGAGAGCACCTCTGTGCTCTCTAAACGACACGAATTAACACACGATTCGCGAATTTAATGTTACGCATTTTTAAGTTGTTCTAGTTGTACGTTAAAGAGAAATTATTGGAGAAATTCTATCTAATTTTCATATTTAATTCTATGTTTGTGAATTATCAATTTTTATACCTGTTATAGGAGTAATGAAAAAAATGATTATACCAAATACAATTTGGCATTCGATCTCTTTAGATTCGAGACGAAATATAATAAATGTCGATGTGTAACAACATTACTTTGTGAGTGATATTTTGACAGAGGCAGCTTGATTAATTCACATTGTCAAACGATGCATTTTCTTTACGTTAATTTAATTCCGTTTAAGCAGTATTCAATGGACATATTTAATACGTATAATTTGTGAAGAGAGTTGAACAAACTGACATTTACAAGCCTTTTGTAGCTTTCGAATGATATCAAATAAATATCCTATTCTATAAGTGATCGATCGATTAGTCAAGGTATTATTTCACATTTCGTGATCAATTGTTCTGTACACGATTTAACAAGTTGACTCTGTGACGAATCATGCATTTACCTAAGGAGTGCTTAGGCTGTGAATGTAATGGAAACTACTATAGGACCTATTTGTATATAATTATATATAAAGAGTTTATAAAAATAATGAAACCTCAATTTAAAATATACATACCGTGAGAAAGTCATTAATTCGATTTATTGACGTTCATTATTAAATTCGGTTAGTACATGATATGACTAAATAAGCTAATATTTAATCACAATATGTCTTTTAAATGTTCTTCGGCAACATCTTTTGGTGTCATACCGCTATTATCTTTCATCGATCGAGCTCCGATCGAAAGTAAATATTTAACGACATCGGTATGCCCGCACGATGCCGCGTAATGTAACGGTGTCTGTCCATCTTCGTCCTGCGAGTTCACATTCGCTTGCCTTTTAACCAGTTCTTCTGTGATCCTTAAATGGCCTCGATCGGCGGCCCAATGTATCGGTAACAGACCTTCCTCGTCCCTCAGGTTCACCAGTTCCGGTTCGTTCCCTAACAACTCCTGCACCTTCTCTTCCTGTCCGTCTTTCACCCAATCTAAAAACGTCTTGTCATTGTCACTTATTTCTTCTTCCGTATTTATTAATCTACTAATGGCAACCCATCCACCGGATTCAGACTGTGCATCCTCTTCCCAGTTAGGATTGAGTTTAGCCAACTCCTCTATGTAATTATTCATAGCATCTTCAGAACTCATTTCGTTCAAGCTGTTCCATGCTTCCCACTTTTGCTTAGCTTGAACTTGGTACCATTTAGGTTTCAAGGCGTTGCAAGGTCCTACCGTGGCCTGTTTGTACAAAGCATAGAATCTCAAAAGTTCCGTGGCACTCAATTCCGATGCCAGCGACTGCAAATGGTTCGCAGCCTTGTTGAACATTTTCTCACGACTCATTCTGACCGTGCTTCTCGTACTATATTTATAAAGTATCTGCTTATCTCGACGTATTTTTGATTCTTAATAATTCTTTCATAATAGATGGCTCATTGCCATCGAACAGATTATTTCTGTAGTTGATATATTTGTTCAGTTTAACGAAGTTCTGTTCCTCACCTACTGGAATGTTGTTCTGACCGTATTCTCCCACACTACTTTGCGTACTCTCGCTTGGCATATAATTTTCTACCAAATCCTTGATGCCTTCTTCTTGCAAATATTTAAAACCCGATGCGATAATTAATTGCTCTTGCTCCAACAAGTGATCTCTGCAAAGCACGTCGCTCATCGCCTTTGCATCGTAAAATTCAACGAATCCGTGGCCCGTGCTTATACCATGCTTATTGAACAGGACCTTCGCGATCTTTATACTGCCGAACGCTGAGAAATATTTGTAAAGTTCAAAGTGAGAAATGGTCCACGGGATATTACGTATAGAAATTAGGTATCGTGAACTCATGACAAACAGGTGATTCAAACTGCACGCTGTATACTGAGCAGATGAATCGTATGATCCTGCATTAAATCATGTATATTTATATCAGAATCCGCACCGAGTCCGGCTAACGATATATGAGTGCAGGTAAGATTCCATTTGTTAAGAAGATGTTCTATAGACCAGTCCGTGCTTCTCTCTTGGTAAGTACATAGAAATTTGGCACCCGGATTTCTTTCTAACAAAAAGGCAACGGTAACGACGATGTCCTCGAATATCGCTGGCTCGTAAAAGCAATCGGATCCAAGTATCAAGTCTAATGGACCGATGGTGAATAGACTAGAGAGAAACAGTCCCCACGTGATTCCCACGATTTGGACCTGAGACAAAATACCGTTCAGTTCGCAGCTTCTTCGTATATGCTGCAGACTTCTGGGGAAACTAGCTGAATCACTTAAAGTCACAGCAGCACCGCATTTACTAGCTAAGATCCCAGGAAGAGCTGTACCCGAGCCTAGCTCTAGAACTCTCTTCCCGATGAGCTCTTCTTTATGTTCCCAAAGAAACCAGGCTAACACAGGTGCAGAGGGCCAGGTATAAAAGCTATAATTAGCTTGGAGTAGCTGTAACAAAAATATAAATAAAATAAGTACTTGAATACCGTCGAGAATCTTTGTATCACGTACTCCCGAGCGTTTAAATAATTAGACGTTCTCTGGACGTTCGACACAGTTTTAAATAGCTATTAATCAGTATCGACCAGTTCGTATTCATTCAACGAAGTTACATTGAGGATCCAAGGTATATGTAGAAGTGATGCAAGCAAGATGTAACCAAATCGCGTGTAACGCTCGTAGCAGGCATACGAGAAATCTGAATCGGGTGACGATCGATAAAAAACGATGTTGATGTACCTCCGGGATATAAATTTCTAGGCTCTCGTTGCACTGCACGTTATCCTGAGTTTTATGGGAGGTAAACAAAAATTTCTTCACTTGCTCAGAGCCGATTCCATCGGACATTAGGCTGTGCGTAGGTGGACTGGTGTCGCGTGAAATAATTTCTTCTAAACCTGGCATGACTAATTATCAAACCCCTTCCGCTAATACCTGCTCATCCTGACTTTATTTATCGATCGTCAACTAGAAATCATTAATTCCAAAGTATATTTCTCTGCGGATAATATAGAAGTTATACAAGTCGTAAATATATAATCGCTATTTTGTCGAGGGCAGTGATGGGCACATCGTGGAATCTTTCGGCGCTATAGGCATCTAAAATGCCATGTGCTAATGACGTCGCACCTAGGGATATCGCTCAACGGCATTACCGTGCATAATATTCGACTCTTGACGGAATTATAATTCGTTTATACTGTTCAGCGTGTTCAGGAAGGATCTATTTAAGTGCACCTCAAGTTTCATCGAGAATCCTTAGAACAATGATCTAGATAAGTGAGAAACTATAAAGCTAAATAAAATTCGTATCAACTTCGTTCGTTATTCAAGATATCGAAATATCGTATATATAAGGGTATGTGCCACGCGGTAGCCCATTCCGTCGGGCGTATGTATGCGGCCACCTGCTCCATCAAACTTACCTTCGGGACGATCCCGCGTTCCTTGATATTCAAAGAAAGTATACGTCATTATTATTGCTGCTAGTAACTTGTAGTGCGCATGGGTAAAAAATCCCACGATGTGCCCATCACTGCTCTCTACCTTTATATCACACTGCTGATCACACACATACTCTTCAAGATTCATGCGATTCGAGCAAGAGGTTGTTAAGTTTTTCCTTAGGCGACTGTGTTGAAAGCACTAAATTTCGACGATTGTTAACAATGGACGACGTGCTCGAATGTTGGGAGGAAATCGAAGAGTCGGAGGTACCCAAATTCGTTTCTCGTGTACGATTGTTTAGGGTACCATTACGTAAAGTTGTATTAATAATAAGGCCGTAATGTTTAACCTGCACTCGAATTCTAATGCCTCTCAGTATCGTTGACCACTTCTCTATATCTCTATCTAAGCTCGACTTTATATTTAACAGAAAGTTAAGGTAAACGTACAAACGATTTTAATCATTCTTGTATTATATTATCTACAATTATGCGCTGTGTATTATGTTCCCATGAGTACTCACTAATATTTAAGATTATATAAACTATTGTTCAAACGAATGATAGATCCCTCTAATACGAAACTTAATAGCAGACACTTAAAGTGTCTTCTAAACATTTATTGTATTTATTAAATTCGATGAAAAATACTATACGTGGCATAGTATTAAATTCTACTAGAGTACAACTATGATAACGTGATAAGACTGTAATGAATTCTAGGCACTTGACAAGAAGTTGGATGCCCTTCAGCTGAACGCTGTCAAAACGTTGGAGGAAATAGAATCCTCTAGGTAAGATCATTTTAAACCGTCGTGACGAATGAATTATAATTCATTTTCGTGATTGGTTCAGTTTCAAAACTGGAAATAACGGGAACAGCAGGATGATAATGTTAGGAGACGATGCGATGAGGTCTCAGTATGTACCACCGAAACCTACTGTAAAAATCTTAAAAAGACCCACGAGGGATTCGCAGGGAAGCGGGGACGGGCCTTTAGTGAACGGCGAAAAACCGAAACAGCCCATTAAATCTTTAAAACAGGTATTTAAGGAGTTTCGTTTATAACGGAACATTATAAATACATCGTGGATGGTTGAAATGAACGACTGATGTTTCGTAGAGAGAACAGGAATACGCGGAAGCAAGAAAGAGGATTCTCGGCGAAGAGAAGAGCCCAGAGGAGAAGATACTGCAAGAGATAAGTCGGATCCAACCGAAGTCGATAAATCCTAGCAACAGCGGTGTGCCCACCAACGTTCTTCGTATGCCGATAGGACCGGACGGTTCCCGGGGTTTCAATGTACGCAGGTAGCGCGTCTCCAGAGATTCGAGTCTCTTCACCCATCCACTCTTTTCTCCTCTCCCCGCCGATTAGGCGGGGAAGGGAAACAGCTATGAGGCTGACGGCAGAGAACGAAAAACGAAGTAACATTTCTGACCGAAGCGGAGTTCAACCGCTGCTCCTGCGCTCCTGGAAACAGGATGCACCGACGTATAGTTGCTGCTGATACGCACTGCTACGTATTATCGGGAAGACCAAGGCTATAAATTGATATACTAAGTATTTAATAGCAGCAAGAAACGATAATTGCTTCTAATCGTTGTTGATGATTTATACTTTTATTTGTTAACGCGTTGATTGTCTTTCGATCATTAAAACTTTCACAAGACTGAGAATCGTATTCTCATGAGAATAAGTGACCTGTGATGACTATAAGAATCGTTTCATCAGAGAAATGAATCGAGTCCAATGACTAAGTTGAACAATCAACTGTACAGTTCCGCGCATCAAATTTTCCTATTGCGTATTTTGTCGACCACACAAGTAACGCAGAAAATTAGCTCGACGATCAATGCGTTAATCCATTTAACTAGGGTTTTTATAACAATTGGAATAACGAAAAGAGATAACCAAAAGAATGATTAACTGTACATACTAAAATGAAAGCCGATAATTTAAGAGTATTTAAAGTCGAGAAGTTCGACGTGACACAAAGATAACTATTTTAATTTCTATAATAAAGTTGTACATTGTTAATTAAGCGATCAAAATGGATTGTATAATAAAAAGATTCCTCTTTATATATTGCTCTGTTATATATTTTCAATAATTGCATTGATCATTGTTTTCCTATTAATATTTAATTGTCCACGTTTGTAATGAATGGAGTAATACTTGTTAATATGAATAGAGAAATATGTAATCTTGTAAATATATATACAATTTCTTAAATCTCTACATTTATATTCTTAATACATATATATATCTCGTATTTTTTTAATTTGGGTAAGTCGAACAGACGTCACTTGGCGAGTAAATTATACGTACGTTCTATTCTCCTTTCGATATTTTGTATATTAGTTCGCATATTGTATGCATCTTTAATACATAATAAATTGTAAAGAATTGTGAAGCCGCGAAATTTTAAATTTCCACCCAATTCCCATACTAGCGCCCTCCACCCTCCACACCGTTGACCTAGCCTACTCCCTCAAGACACGAGGATCAGCAATATTATTTGTATATGCATCTGTAGAAAAACGAATGAATACGGTGTTAGTTGAGGAGTTAAGTTTTAATAAAGTTCGAAATGCAGCGAGAGGAGAAGCAGCTGGATTCAGCTTTGGAAGCTATTATAATGAGGGTAAACGACTTGAAAACTGCGATTGCTTCAATGATATCCAAGTTGGAACACGAATATGACATGTTAAATTGGCCAAATTTCCTTGACAATTTCGCACTTATCTCAGGACACGTAAGTGGCACGATGATCTGATTGTAATTCGATCAAAGTGATCAAGATTTTCTATATACTAGAATGCGTCCGTACATTTAAAACGATTTTCGTACAGCTGACTAGTCTTTCGAAGATCCTTGGACATGACAAGGCACCAAATTTAAGGAATCTAACTGTTCTGCCGTTACGATTAAGCCCAGAGAAGGATGAAGATCTGCTTCGGTTAACCGAGAATAGAATACCTACGTTTGCACATGATTTGGTACCGGACTATCTGCGAACCAAGGTGGAACCACAGGCCGAGCAAAAAATGATGCAGCTCGAGGCAAAAGCTGCTAATTTAAATTATGAAACGTCGCATGTGAGTGCAAACAGTTCTTCTCTATGTACATCACGTTTTTCCATCGTTTAACTAAAGATTGTCTATATAAACTCGATCCATTTTTAATATAATGATTAACGAGCGTAAGAAAAATAATTCTTGAATCTGTGTTGAAACCTCGCCTCTGTTTATTATTTTACTGTAGAAGTTTAAAGATGATTTAAGCATTTCTATTTCTCTTTTAACGTGCTAACTATACATCAACTAGGACTGCAATGTAAGCTACTACCAGCTAGCTTTTAACTACTTTATTAGTTCCACTGTCAAGAGTCAGCGGTTTGAAATGTGCTTGCTCTTTGTCCTTTCTCAGAAACAAGTGGCTCAATACACGAAAGTTATTAATCACGTATGGGATATAGCGAACAAGGCGCGCGAGGAATGGGAAAGTGAAGCTGGTTCCAGGGCAACTCAGGCCCAGACCAGCAGTACAGCTGACACTCATGCTCTCGTCGCAGCTGTTGGCATGGGCAAAGGTCTAAAGGTAATTTAAATCATTGCTCTTAAATATGTTCCATCGCGTATGTTTATCATGCTTCTCGTGAATTGCAGACCGATTCCGTTCAGATGGTACAGTCTGGTGTGAACTCCGTGCCCAGCGGAATGATGGTAGGCAGGCCCGGAAGCCAGCAGCAAACTCCTGGACAAGGATCTATAGGTAATCTATCAAGTGGAATATTTGTCACAATTTTCTTTGATCTTTCGAGAATGTTACAACTAAATAACGAATGTGTTTCTAGTGGGACAAATGAGTAAAGCTCCGAGCGCTATCAAGACTAACATTAAAGCAGCATCACAGATTCATCCGTATAGATAAAAATTCATCTTTTACAACTCGATGCTAATTCAGCTGGAATACCACCGACCACTTTCGCTTCGATTTATACTTCCGACATTTGTACATAATCATTCTTGTTAAAGAAATCTGTACATACCGTGAAAATAGAAATATAATTTATAGTATTTATTATCTTTTTTGCGATACAATTGCGTACGCCCGAGGTGACAAGCGTCTATGCATGACCGGGACAATTTTCGCTCTCAAACCCTGTTCCTTCATCCAACACAATCGATCCTGTAAAACGAGCGACTCCGCTGGCGCTTGTAGCATCATTTGCAAACCGGTATAAATTTCTGCGAGTTTTAATTTATCACTATGACTTTCCCACAGGTCTATCATATTCTGCTCATGAGTCTCGAAATTAAATTGTGCATCTAGAACACAGCGTGATTGAATATTCTTGGTTTCTGTTATACAATTATTTGTATACTTGTATAGAAGTTTACCTTCTTCCAATTTTTTCAAAGTGTACCTATGTAAAGAATCTTTAATGTAAGTTTCAAAATCTAAGCACTGCGACTTTCTCGTGCCTTTCTGAGTACATTTCTTAAGAGAGAATCCATCTAAAAAATTTCCCGATTTACTTGCACCATTCATAGACCGAATGAAGAATCATTGGAGGTAGTAACACATACTTTTAGTCGCGTACAATTGAAGAACGGCCCTTGCGAGAACGTAAAACGAATGTTGATCGTGTGTCTCAGTGGACATATTGTACCACCTGTCCGCAGGTTCTTGACACGCTAGTCGCAAGAACGGCTGTCTCAGAAAAGAACCGACATCGAGACCAGAGTTACTGATCACGTCTTTGAGACAACTGGACAGAGGAAAGTTATTGAAATATTGTTTCTCGGTCGACGCATTTACTTTCGTACTTTTTGATATCGAAAGCTTGTGGTAACAGCAAGGAACTACGATAAGAGCTCGCGCCGCTTTCATGTCCCGAAATATTTTCGACGCGCATATGCTAAGGTCTCCGCAGGCATGCAAGCCTATCAAGCAAACGTCCGTGTTCTCCCCGAATTCATCGTTCAAGATCGTTTCGATCGTTTCAACAGAATCGCACGTTAAATCGCAGCAGCTGTACTTAACGTGCCCCAGTGAATCGGGATAGAATTTTGTCTGTCTGTTCCTTGCAGTATTCACGTTCGCCTGATTCTTTTCTAATCCAAGGACTTTGTATCCGTACAAGTGGTACAATAGCTGGCAAACGTATCCCTACAATAAAAGCCCGTTGTAGATCTTGAAAACAATACATGATTCTTACGTTCTGTTTCTCACCAAGCCTGCACCGAGATCAACGATCACTTTTATGTTCCGCGACGCGCATTCAGCGTTCACCAAATGTGCTAGGTACATTATTTCGTGTTGCTTCTTCGAGCTAAGTCCTGTTCGAAAGTTCTTTGGCACCGTCGCAGGCAATACAATATCTATAATTGGTAGTCGATCGATGCATTTACATTTCTCGACGAAAGTCCTCAGACCTTCGGACCACTCCGGCTAAAAATTAAACGAACTTACAATATCGTATTCGAGTGTACGTACATTCTTCACAATTGATCACCGACCTTCGTTGTCTTTCTTACAACGAAATCATTGAGCTCCTCATTTTCTAAACGTTGTAAAGCTGTCGACCATTCGTTCGGGAATAAATCGAGCAACCCTTCGCTTAACAAATGAGTAACCGGAGTGTTATAAAGCCACTGTGTTTCAACGAAAAGATTCAACGAGTCCAAGAAATAGATATGCTCGCTTGCACAGGTCATCTAGCGTGCAGAAAGAAATTTACCATTTAATCCTATTATTCTTTGTCTACATGTATAATTTATTGTAATAACGTATCTATATATATATATATATATATAATAGCAATTTTGCATAATGTTTATTGTTTTACAAGACACTATGCTCCACGCTGCAAGGATATAAAAACCGTCACGAAAATATTACGCGCACTGTTTTATATAAATTATATATCCATCGATACTCTCAATTAAGAATAGTAGCATTTATTTGAAACGATCATTCGGCTGCTCTTGCTTGAGTTTCCTCTTCTTGATTCTCGACCCTCCAATTCTCCCAATGCCTGCTCAATAAATCGTGATTCACCGGCCCGATCAGCGCGCGTCCTACTCTAATGTCTTTTTGATCGGGTAGCAAATATTTGTTAGCAACGTCTAGAAGCTGTTCTTTGGTCACAGCTTTCAATCTCAGCCTTTGCTGCTGGATATCGTCCTCCGTGATATTGTACTTGAACTTGATCATTCCGCGACTACTCGGGGAGATTGGCGCGTCGATGCGTTGGAATATTCCTAATTTCGCCTCGTTGATATCGGTTTCGGGTAACGGATGCTTCGACAAGAAGTCGTGCGCTTTCTCGAACAGGTCCAAGGTGCGGGTAGAATTAGGATCTCTGTAAGAGTAAAAGGCAAAGATTCCGTCCGTGGACATCGTCGCACCGCCGCCGTACGCTCCGCCTTTCTCTCGGATCTCCGGGTGCAGGTAAAGCGACGTGAGCAGCTTGGAGAGCACTTGCAACGGTGCGAAATCTGGATGCGTGTACGGTACGGTGAGAATCGCTTTAGCCGTGTAATTTACAGAGTACGGTAGTACATAATGTATAGCTTTGACGTCCGTGTCTATGTGTCGATCGAACACGGAGATGTCCGTCTCTTTAGGCGTTGCTTTCAATGAATTATAAAACTGCTCCATGCTTCCCAATATGTTCTCCTTGTTAGTTTTACCTAAATTGATCGCCGACCTTAAATGTCCCTTGTTCAAAATGTAATTAGCTATCTCCTGCATCTGGCCTAACACAGGACTCAAGTCCTGCATCTGTGCTATCTTCTTCATGCTTGATACGTGCTGCAATCCCGACAAAAGCTCTTTCCACCTAGTGACCGGCGAAACCAAACTGCCAGCGCTACTCATCGCGTAAGTATGTCCTAGATCCGCGATCCCGTTCACCAAATCTGCGGCGCTTATTTTAACCAGCGTGGTGAACCTCTCGACGTCGGACAGCCTGACATTGTTAAACAGCTCCAACCATAAGTTCCACATGTCTTCCACGTTTCGATCGAGGCAATACGATTCTATCATCACACCTTCTTCGTACTCTAACAAATTATCTTTACGCTCGACGATGTGGTTCATGAAGTTTAAGCCCCCGGTCTTCAGTCGTATCATCTGATCGAAATCTCTGTAATTGTAGCTCTCCGTTCCCATTTTCGAGACGACGTTGTTGAAAATCGGTAGCAACGTTTTCAATTCCGGCTGCAACGCCTGAGTGTTGAGAACTCCACGGTAGTAAGAAACGCCGTTCGTCGGCTCGGTGGCAATTTGTAACGGAACCCCGACGATCTTCGTGTCCTCCAGCTTGTATCGTTCCACATCTTCTTTTATGTCCTCGATTTTCAACGTCGGAAGGACGGTCTCATCTTCCTGCTTCTGTTGTTCCTCGAGTAAAATCTGCCCGTCGATATAAATCTGGTCCAATTCTTCTTGAGTAAACTGTTTCAACTTAGATTCTAACAGCTCGCGTTCGGCAGCCGCTTTCTCGGCGTCGTACTTCTCATCCGGTAACATGGTCAACGTCAGTCTATGATTATTTTCCATTAAATACGTTTTCACCAAGTTTTGAAGATAATTAGGATCATTCTTAAGTGCCTCTCGAAATTTAAGTATCGATTCATTGATTCTCATTGCTTCGATCAGATTCCCATCGTGATTCCATAACGGCGTTAGATTGAAGAGTAGCTGCAATCCGAAGCTAGACGTTTGATGTTTCAATTGAAGCTCGATGGTGTGCAGGACAGCCTCGACGTGATTCTCTACGAATCCTTCCTCGACGACTTTCTGTACAGTTTCATTAAAAACTCGCTCTACTTTTTCGAATGACTCTGGTTTGACACCGAGCAGGCTCACGACGAGCATAGTGTCCTTGCAATGAGAATCGAAGCCCGTCATCGGCCCGAAGGAAACGCCTAGTTTCGACTCTACCAAAGATTTATAGAACGCCGAATTCGGGCCTCTTAAGAGAAGTTGAGACAGAACGTGTAACTCGAAAGTTTTCTGCGTATCAGTTATGTCGTTACACAAATGACCGATAGCTATACTTCCCTGTCGAGTAGGATCTGCGACCATCGGATCCGGTCTACACCTAACGTGTTCCTTGTTCGGATTCTCCCAACGTTTCTCCGAAGGAACTCGCGACATGGACGTGTCGATCTTGTCCATTAAGAACAGATATCGATCGTTCACGAATTTCAAGTGATCTTCCAAAGGGAAATTGCCGTATGAATAGAATCGCGAGTTAGAGGGGTGATAGTACGTTCGATGGAAGTTGATCAGATCGATGTATCTCAACGTAGGTATGACGAGAGGGTCTCCTCCAGAGATCACCGAGTAAGTGTGACTAGGTAGAATGCGGTTCAACATTTCTTCAGCTAATATCGTTTGATTCTCGTTGAAAACGCCTTTCATCTCGTTAAAGACCACTCCTTTGAAAACGATAGGCGAATTCTTATCGTTAACGTCCGCGTGTTCCAATCTCCATCCTTCTTGCCGGAAATCAAGCTCCCTCAAGTTTGGTTTGAACACAGAATCCATGTATACCGATTGCAGATTTCGGTAGTCCTTCATATTTTGTGTAGAAAATGGATATATCGTGTAATCAGGACCAGTCATGGCGTTCATGAACGTAGCTAACGATCTCCTTAACATTTTGAAGAACGGATCTCTACACGGATACCTTTCGCTACCGCAGAGGGTGGTATGTTCTAGGATATGAGGTAAACCTGTAGAATCCTTCGGGGTCGTACGAAATCCAACTGAGAATACATTGTTACTGTCGTCCCTGGCTAAGTGCATGTACTGTGCCCCAGTTCCCAAATGGGTGAGTCGCACTGCAGTTAAATAAAACTCATCTACTTTCGCAACTTCGTCTACCATGAAACCATGGATAATGTCTCCCTTCTGAAACTTGCTGGTATCCAGTTCACTTATTTGATATCTTGGGACAGTAGTTGCCAGACTTCTCGAACAAACATTTTTATACTTCAAATATTGTCTTATTCCAAACTGACGCAAATACGAGGCTTTCGATATCCTCAACATCTTCGAGATTTTGTACAAATATCTGTGGAAGGTTAAACGCGAACGTGTCAACGAGGTATGATGCAACGAAACGGTTCGAGGAGAAATATAAATCGCTCACCAGAATCAGATGTAAGATTCGTCGAACGAACGTACGTTCGTTCGTAGCAACACTTTGTTTCTTGACTTTAAGAAAGAAATCACAGAAAACGTGACTCTCTCTTACGATGAATACGGACTTTGCGTTTGTAAATAACTGTCCCTGACGGTAGACTGAGCCGGTGACAGTGTTCACAGGAGTTGCACGTGAGGATTTGTAGAACAACGAAGGAGAATTGAATTTAACAATAAATCGTGATGCGACGTTTAGATATAGTCGTTGGTTAATAGTTAAGCAACGTTGAGCAATCAATAAAAATTTGAACGTCTTGATCAAGTAGTTTTACATTTTCCTAATCTTACCCTCTTCGATTTTTGTGTCACGCGTAAGCAGTAAGTAAGTAGATGTTCAGAAGTAACTGATCTTCAAAATTCAAACTGCACGCACGTCGAACGTGCACTCGTTTTCCGTATCATGGCATCATACAGAATATGTACAATGAAATGATGAATGGAAAAGGTTTTAATGATCGAAATATGGATTGTTCTTAATATTACCAGTCCTCGAACTCGTTAGTCAGAAGCGTAAACGTAATATTTATTAGACATATCATAATTTGCAGTATTTTGCTTTATTCGTATTTTTTTTATCAATCATTTTATTTCGACGCTGCTATATGTACGAGTATATACATATATATATAAGCGGACGGTTCCAGGGATCCAACGGAAACGGTCCAATAACGAGAGGGGCGCAGAAGAAATCGAATGGGTAGAATCTAGAATCGCTACCAACGATCTGTTTGTCTTCTTTTTTACCGCGTCGAGAAAAGTACGGTTAGATCGATCCACTGTATAATTTCCTGGATGGCCAAATAATTTTACGATATCGTGCGATAAACGAATAGATAAACGGGACTGTACGATTTGACCGCGGTTCCACGGTGGAAACTGATCAGTGGGTTTTCTAAGTTGAGTGCAATGAGAACACGACCTGGGGGACGTCGGAGAAAGCAACACGAAGCTCGATGTAGATGTATGTAGGCACCCATGAGACAAAGCGCAAGGTCTATGACGATTGAAGAACGCGCAAAGTGCTCGGTTTTCCGTGCCCGACCGATAGACCGTCCACTGATACTGGATTTAAACCTGGCCACGGGTCGCGTATAAATCGCGTTCCGTGAAACCGAACGATGCCGGGTACGCGTTTGTGAAACGCATCGCGCGATACCGATAATGACGGATTCCCGGTTACTCTCATATTGTATGCGCTTCGGCGAGTTGTCGGGTCCGCGCGAGTGGAGGGTCTCGAATGGCGCTCGTCTACGATCACCGGGAGTGCAATGCTAACAAGTAGTCCAGCAGCTGACTCTGACAAAATGGTAGGGTACACGCGTCGTCCTATGGGAGGTGATCAATCTTTCCTCGTATAATCGGAGCGCCTCCGCTGACGAGGTACGATGAGTACTGATAACCATGATCAGACGAAGCCCTGCGTCAGCAAACCACCCGCAAGAATCGAGCTTAACGCCGACGAGAGCGCGTTCGACGGCAGGCGAATCAAGAAGGAACGGACTGACGTTTCCCTCGAGAACGGTGACGGTAGCGGTAGCATCAGTAATGCCGGCATCAACGAGAACAACAGCAAGCAGCAGCAGCAGCAGCCGAACCAGCAACGGCCGGCTGCCGGTAGATTTTCAAACGGCTTCCACGACGACGACCTACTTCAAGATATCATCGCGGCCAAGTTCACGGCCCTGGCGAACCACGGCGCGGCCACCAAGTACGACAAAAACAAAATTCGGCTCATGATCGAAGATAGCATCAGGTTAATTCAATTGTCGGTTATCTCGCTCGCTCCCAAGCCCCGCTTTTCTCGCCCTCTCTCAACTTTTCGTTCTCACGTTTTCTTCCCACTATTTCGAAAAGTTACGTCTCTCGTTTCTTCATCGACGATTTCTTATTAAATTTCTACCGTCGAAACGCGTTTCCGAGTTGAACAATTAAATCTGAGTCTATATTAAATATCCGTTACACGCGATGACACGAAATTTCCAATTTCATGAATGAAAATATTTGTCCTGTTTGTAACGCTCGGTCCTCTTCATTTTCTTACATTTCTTTTTATTTAAATTTCGATGATAAATTAGAGATCTCTTCTGCGATGGATTAATGCATCTCCTAATTCGAGGCTCCTTAATTTTATATGATTAGAGTCTATCGACATAAACGAATTTTAAAGAGCATTTAGAATAACGCTGTACGTATTGCTACAAGTTGGAAATGTACGTTTTGCACAGTCCTTGCTGGTAGGAACATGCGTACGCCAAAGCGCCAGGCTTGATAATTATTCTTTTTAACTTTCATATTTTAACTACAATTTCAGTGAAGAATCGAAAACCCGCATCCAAGAGATCTTTTCGCAAATCGAGCAATTGAAAATAGAAGAGAAATTGTTGTTGTACCTGAAACTTCCATTATCACTGACTAACGCTGGAGGGACCGTCGATCCTTTGAGACTACCATTAAATCCGTTAGGGAATCGTTATGAAATTCATCAAACTATCATGTGGATTAAAACCCACTTGGAGGAGGATCCGGATGTTTCTTTACCAAAACAAGAAGTTTACGATGAGTACAAGTAAGCGATTGCGATAAAACTGATGTAAAACGATAGGTAAATAATCTCATACTCCTGTTCTTAATTTATCTCCAGTATGTATTGCATGCGGAATTCTATGAAACCCTTGTCGACCGCTGATTTTGGGAAAGTTATGAAGCAAGTGTACCCGAGAGTTCGACCCCGTAGACTGGGCACGCGAGGGAACTCGCGTTACTGTTACGCTGGAATGCGCAAGAGAGTCAAATTAGATCCTCCGACATTGCCTAATATATCTGGCGCTCAGTCTGTAAGTCGCACAGAGAATTTATAATTGATTGAACGTTGTCTCTCAATAGGATCGATCATGTTTCTTTCGCCACTTTCAGGGCGAGGAGGTGGACGAGAATCTGACCGAGGAAATGTTGGGAGCTGCGTCCACATTGATCAGGGAATGGGCAGAGAATCTTTTAGGCTTGAAATTTCCAACTTTGAGTGCCTTAGCACGTCATCTCGTTGATAATCGTTGCGTCGATGCTCGATCTCTGTCCGCCGTGTGCATATTGTGCACCTCGGAGAATACTAACACGTCGACGAATAAAGGTTTGTACTATTAAATGATTTCTTTTCGACGTGTCGTGCGTTACGAATTGTATTAAGGATTTATTGGCTATACAGTCAATCCGAAAAGTTTATGTACCTTAGAAAAACGCATTTCCTATAATTAAAAATAGTGCACTTATCTTCTATTTTCGATATTTAATGAGTTAAGTATGATTATTTGGCATTTTATTGATGTTGACAAAATCCGACCATTCCAGCGTCGAAATGGCGAACTTTTGGAAAAAAATTTCGTTTTTCCTCAATAACTCCTAAACTCTTGGAGATACGGGAAAATTGCATAGGACCTTTCTTGTAGAGGACGACGAGATCTACAATTTCTGTATAAAAAGTTTTCGCTAGCATTAATAGTTTACGAATTATTGACGAAAAACGAAAAACAGTTTTTTGCAAATTACTCGTTAACTATTGACGCTAGCGAAAACTTTTTATACAGAAATTGTAGATCTCGTCGTCCTCTACAAGAAAGGTCCTATGCAATTTTCCCGTATCTCCAAG